TAATAATAATAATAATAATAATAATAATAAAAATAATAACAATAAGATAATAATAATAATAATAATAATAATAACATTAAAAATAATAATAACAATATCAATATTAATTAATAGTAATAGCAATAACAATAATAATAATAATAATAATAATAATAATAATAATAATAATAATAATAATAATAATTGTGAGTGAGCGTGTGTGTGTGTGTGTGTGTGTGTGTGTGTGTGTGTGTGTGTGTGTGTGTGTGTGTGTGTGTTTGTGTGTGTGTGTGGGGGGGGGGGCCTTGTTGTACGTGTGTACGTATGTATGTAAGTATATTACGTATAATATTATATACGTACTATCATTTTCTTACTACTTTTGATACGGCTGTACCTGGTCTCCCACACTTGTGTCTCCATCTAAAAACTCTTTCCTTCTCGCTTTCTTCCTCCCTCTTCTCTCTCTCTCTCTCTCTCTCTCTCTCTCTCTCTCTCTCTCTCTCTCTCTCTCTCTCTCCCCTCCCTCCCCCTCCTTCTCACTGTGTCTCCCCCCCTCTCGTCCTCTCTTTCCCTGTCTGTCTATCTGTCTGTCTGTCTATCTGTCTGTCTGTCTGTCTGTCTGTCTGTCTGTCTGTCTGTCTGTCTGTCTGTCTGTCTGTCTGTCTGTCTGTCTGTCTGTCTGTCTGTCTGTGTGTGTGTATGTGTGTGTGTGTGTGTGTGTGTGTGTGTGTGTGTGTGTGTGTGTGTGTGTGTGTCTCCCACCTTTCCCGTATGTCTTTATAAAGTACTCTCAAACATTTCCTTCGTGGATCCCATGTGTAAACAATGAACCTCCTGACGGCCTGGCGATTAAAGACAATCTTCCCGACCGTGGCTCAAGCTAGTTTAGACTTGCATCTATTTCTTAATAATCAGCCCATTGGCCTGGCTCACATTGAGTCACTTCCGTCCTGCCTGTTGTATATCTACCTGTATCCAAGACCTTCTTTGTTAGGCCCCTTTCCCTGATATTATACAGAACTACATCAGTTTTGTCTTACTTTCAGTAGCTCCTGAGGAAGCCTTCGTGACGAAACGTCAAGCCGATTTAATAAACCAAATTCTAAACATGGCAGCCCCTCTCACCTCCTTTGCCCCCTCCTCTGGGCTCCTTACTCTTTCTGCTGCCTTTCTACTGCTACTCCTTGGCTTCTTCTTACTGCTGTCTTTCAGCCACACCCCTGATCTTCTGGTGGGAAAGATCTACACCTAGCCTTCTCGGACAAGGGCGATAAATCTCTAAGGTTCCGTGTGCAAGTTGGGCACGTTAAAGATCCCTAGGTCTAAAGTCGATAAGCGTAGGCTTCGACTGCCACCCGGGCAAAATTCAAAATTGTTATACTAACTGAAAATGTTTAATGTGTCCCGCGCGCTCATATGAACTTATGCAGTTGCGAGCGCCGTAAAACATTTGCTAAACCCCCCCCCCCCTCGAACAACAACAAAAACAACAACCCCCCAAAATTACAGCAACTGCCATTGTGCTGCTTGGTTCCCTTCGACCATGCTCTATTGGAACAAAGCATTGACTATGCCGTGTTCTTCCTCGCTTTTTTTTTCGTCAACAGGTTAATACCAGTCTCATCGAGGAAGAAAAATTCAACCGCTAAGTTCTGATTCTGCAGCAGCCATGCTGCATGTTGATGTCATTTCCTTCAGTCCTATCAGAATTCCTTTCCGCGGGAGTCTCCTCGAGTTTTGTTTTGTTTTGTTTTGTTTTTGGGGGCGATGAGGAGGGGTTGGTGTGGGTGGTCTTTTTTGTTTGTTGTGGGTTTTTTTGGGGTTCTTTTGTGTGTGTGGGGGGGGGGGGGGGGGAGGGGGTCATGATGATCAGTTCACCCTAAAAGGGTATTGTTTGTTGTTGTCGTTAACTAAGTTTGAGCACATTAAAATGTTGCTCACGTTGAGTAATTTGTTTGGAGGGTATAATATTTTGCTTTTGCTATGTGGTATTTAAGCTTCCTATATGACTGAGTTACATTTGGATTTGCTATTTTACATTTAAACTTGCTAGGCATAATCGTGATCTAACATTTTCTATATTACGAGATTTGAACTTTCTCTGTGGGGTGAAGCTTTTTTTTTCCCCTTTGAACCTTCTTTTGGAAATTTTTTTTTTTTTGGGGGTACTTTTTTTGGGACCCCCCCCCCCCCCCCCCCCCCAACAAACAAGAATAAGATATAGTGCAACTAAAGAGACTTATCTTCGACTGCAACAAGGATGAAATCACCTGCCACGAAACAGTATTGCTACATGAGGCAGAATATTGTAAAGCTTATAAACTCTACTATAAAAAGCTTAATTTGAATGCGTGGATGTACGTTGAATAAGTTATAGTATAAAATGTGTATGCTATGTGTGTGAGTGTGTGTGTGTGTGTGTGTCTGTGTGTGTGTGTGTGTGTGTGTGTGTGTGTGTGTGTGTGCGTGTGTGTGTGTGTTAAGGGCGGGAGAGATAAATGCGTGGATAAGCATTTGTGTCGTTGAAAAATGGAGTTCCATTTTGTCTCTCCGTGTATTCTAGCAACATTTAAATATTATATAAAATGAGACAGGGAGATACATAGCTATACATACTTTTTTGGGGGGTAAGTGTTTTACGGCATTCACAAATGCACAAGGTCATACGAGCGCCCGGGACACATTAAGCATGTTCAGTTGGATAGGAATTAATTTTGAATTTTGCCTGAATGTTGATCGAAGCCTACAGTTATCAATATTGGACCACCAAAAAATCTTTAACGTGCACAACTTGCGCACAGGACCTCCAAGATTTTTGGAACTTATCTGAGAAGGCTAGGTTTTAGATCTTACTTACCCGAAGATCAGGGGTGAGGCTGAAAGACTGCAGTAAGAAAGATCTAAGGGGTAGCAGTAGAACGGCAGCAGAAAGAGCCAAGAGCCTAGAGAAGACGGCAAAGGTGTGTATGTGTCGGGGGGGGGGGGGGGGGG